CCAAATCATCTTTTTTTTTTTTTTTGAAACGGAGTTTCACTCTTGTTGCCCAGGCTGGAGTGCAATGGCACGATCTTGGCTCACTCACGGCCACATCCGCCTCCCAGTTTCTAGCAATAGCGATTCTCCTGCCTTAGCCTGCTGAGTAACTAAGATTACAGGCATTTAACACCATGCCCTGCTAATTTTGTATTTTTAGCAGAGACAGGGATTCTCTATGTTGGTGAGGCTGGTCTTGAACTCCTGACCTCAGGTGATTCGCCCGTGTTGGCCTCCTAAAGTGCTGGGATTACAGGCATGCGCCACCGCACCCAGCCAACCCAAATCAGCTCTTAAGTCCATTTGTAGGAACTATATGTGAGGGCATTCTTGAAAGCTACAGCCACAACAATTTCATTCCTTTAAAAGTGATGGAGTCCATCATGTTAGATGGATTTTATAGGCATGTGTTGTATTATGGAAAAATGAAAATGCATTCTCTGGAGACACACTGGTAGATTTCTAAATTATGTCATATGCTTGGATTCAGCCCACAGCAACTGTTACGCTCTGAATTGTTCATCTCGGGACAAGTATTTAGTTTGTGGAATTTAATAGTGCCCCTTAAGTTTCTAGAGTTTGTCTTTCCGGTCCACAAGAGAAAGAAAGGTTAAAAGTCTCTAACCTTAAACTCTGTACACAGAAGGCCCTTGATAAAAACCTCAGGGCTGAATTGAAGAGGATTCTGGGTAGATTCCGTTCCCTCTGGGATCCCCACCCTATTCGTTTACTTGAAAGTGTGGTGGTTCTTCTAACAAGCTCAGCTTTAGGGCTCTGAACTGGCTAATGCCGTAGTTTATTCCATTACGTATTATGTTGGTTTATATCCCCGCAGAATCACCAAGCCCAATTTACAGGTTGTTCTTTTTTATAGACCTGTGAAATCCCTTGGGTGCTCCAAAGAGCTTTGGGATTTCTGGGTACATAAGCAATGATAGGGCTCTGCAGGCAAGGGTCAGAACTGGGGGGGGGAAACCCGCAGTTCATTATGCCCAGCACCTTCCATCTCGATTGACACGTCTCGGAAATAGTCGTTTTGAAATGAATCAGCTGAGTCATAGAGCAGTACAAGTGATATGGTTTGGCTGTGTCCTCACACAAATCTCATCTTGAATTCTCATGTGTTGTGGGAAGGACCCCGTGGGAGGTAACTGAATCATGGGGGCAGGCCTTTTCCATGCTGTTCTTATGATAGTGAGTAAGTCTCACAAAATCTGATGGTTACTATAGGGGGAAGTTTTCCTGCACAGGCTCTCTTTACCTGCCGCCATCCACAGAAGGTGTGACTTGCTCCTCCGTGCCTTCCACCATGACTGTGAGCCTCCCTCCCCTAGCCATATGGACTTGTAAGTCCAATTAAACCTCTTTGTAAATTGCCCAGTCTGGGGTATGTCTTTATCAGCAGTGTAAAAACAGACTAATACAGTAAGTCATTTTTGCCTGAGATTCGATATTATGGAAAGTCACATAGAAATGTTCCATGGAGTTTAGAAATAAAAATTCTAGAAGACATACATTTGTCATGTAATGGTTGGTTTTTCTTCAAAATACTCAGTGAATGTACAAAACCCATTTTAAACTAAGGACATGTACAAATTACTTAAATTAGTCCCTAGATGAACAACTGGAGAAAATATGAATAATGGGAGAAAATCTAACATGTGCAGTATGCAAAATTAATTAAACAAAGGGCAAATCTTTGGCATCAAATGGAACAAATGTTTTATTAGATGTATAGAAAAAAGGAACACTGACGTAAAGGAAAGCATATTAAAATCTCGTGTTTGAAGATTCACTGTTCCCTGGAGCTGCTCTGGTAATTAAGATTAGCAAGAAATTTGTCAGATATTAAAACAAAAGAAGAGTTTCATCAGTATCACTAGCAATCTATTGTTAAACATAAGGTAGCCAAGGAAGCACCTTAGGACCAAGTTTAAGAGCTCAGAGAATCCTCTTCCACCCCATAGGATTCCTGGCAGTTTACATCTGGAGAATGGGCTTCTGCTAGAAGTCTGGGAGCATAGGATTTGTCAAGAAAGCCAAATATAAGGATCAAAAGGATGCACAGGCTTGGTGCTCACACCTGGAACTCAAAAGCTTTAGGAGGCAGAGCCAGGAGGATTGTTTGAGCCCAGGAGTTCAAGGCTGCAATGAGCTATGATGGCACCACTGCACCCCAGCCTGACAATGGAGCGGTAACTTATATATATATATATATATGCAGGTTATACATTCATATATATAACAGGTTTTATATATATATAAAACCTGCCTACACACACACACACACACACACACATACATATATGTATATGTGTCTCTTCTCCCTGCCAGGTAGCATTGGAATAAAGGTGGGAAGATCTATAGGCACACCAGCTCTGACTGAGCAAACAGTGGTCAGAAAGGAGGAAGTAGCTTCTTTGGATCAAGTGTGTCAAGCAGGCCCTGAGAAGAAATGACAGAGCTGCACATGATGGCAGCCATACATAGGACATGAAAGGGCAGAAGCCAAAGGAGCATAGGTGGGGAAAGCCAGTGGCCCTGTTTTGGTCTTTTTAGCTGCTGTAGAAGGTACAAAGTTCCTCTTCAAAGTTTCCCTTCTTGTTAAGGAATAATAATAATAAATGTTAGAAATAATAGTTTATTTTAAAGACTTTCTTCAAAGCCTTCTTCCTTTTTGCTTCTAACTCTCTGTTAAGCCCTATCCTATGTAGCTATTGGATATAAGGGAATAAATGCATTTTATGTCCTTGTACTTTAACCAAGATATTTGTGGTGGACGTGCTCACAGTCACATAGTACATTCTATGTCCTTATACTTTTTTATCATTGAGTTTAATTATGGTTCACAAAAAAATTGAGCGATTAACTTTCTCTGAAAAAATATATTGACTCTCTATAGACCGAAGTTATTGGGAGGAGGGCCTATATTCTATTCTGAAAATGATATTAATAGAAAGTCCTGTATCCAGTCTTAGTATAAAGATACATGTGCCAAAAATGTCTGACAATAAATACAACAGGAAATGCAAAAGCTGTAAAGCTAAGGGCATGCAAGAGAAAATCTCAGAAATACCCAAAGTGGCAATAAGGAACATTTGGCTAGAATTTGAAGTTCTTTCAGTCATCTTTGTCTTTTGCTCCACTGTTTCAGGATGCGTGTGAACTCGATGTAATTGAAATTCACCTTTCGTTCAACAGGTGATTCTCTGTACAGATTATCCACTTCCTCATTCATAAACTGATCCTCATTTGTAAACCGAGTTGTCAGCAGCTCTGTCAGGTAATCTTCCTGAATAGTGCCAGTTGCTTCTTCATCAAAGCAAGCAAAAACATTTCTGATGACATCTTCAGGATCTGTGCCATTTAACTTCTCACCAAACATGGTGAGGAATATGGTGAAATTGATGGGGGATGGAGCCTCATTCATCATGGCATCCATGAGTTGGGATTCTTCCCCAATGAAGCAAGCGTATCATGAAAATCTTCCTCATTAATGAAACCATCTCTGTTCTGATGAATCACATTAAAGGCCTCTTTGAACTCCTGAATCCATGACTGGTCAAACATAGCAAACACATTGGATGTTGTGTGCTGGGGGCGCTTCTGGGTGGTCTTGGTCTTTGCTCTTTTGCTTGACATGGTGGTGGTTAAATCCCGGCACAGCTACAAGAATCTGAGCACCTCAGTGAGCCCCTCACTGCCACTATCACCACCCTGCTGCTCAGAGCTATGTCCTTGTACTTTAACCAAGATGTTTATGTTACTACTTTTCTAAGTCCTTTCACAAGCAACTTCCTCTCCCTACCTTATTTGGATTTCCTCTTTTCCTTTTGTTCTCCATTGCCTTTACCTATTCAGAAAAGTTTCAAGTTGTCAGCCAGTCAGGTTTAGTTTTAGATAGTGAGGTCTGGCTCCAGCCAACGGAGATCAGACACAGCCTTAAGGACCCAATATGTAAGGAATAAATATGTCTGCCTTTCCTTTGTTCATTGTACTCTCATGGCAAGGTGGCTGAGGAGCAGTACCTTTTCTGTAGAAAGTAAAATTGGCTTGCTGAGAAAACTTTTTGTCTGAATGCTATTTTTTCCTTGTAGTACTAGGAACAAGCAGTCTGTCTCTAACAGCTACTCTTCAGTACACTGTCAGCTACTTAATCTTTCTTTTCCCTTGTTTAAGTGAAAGTTAATATAACAATAACAAAACAGTTGTATTTATTTTTAATTAACATAACAATATTGTATATAGACATTTATGAAAAGACAAGATAGTATAGAAATCACTAGTGGTATGTTTTTAAAAATAACAATTAAAATGATGTGTTTAGAGAGGTATGAAAATGGAATTGTTAAACTCTAAAAGACAGAGCACACTGTATATGAATGCCTTAGAAGAAGCAAGTCAATAAAATGATATATTTTAAGGGACTGAATAATTGAATGTTCTTCTCAGAATCTTCTATAATGGTAATATCAGTTTAGTGCATTTATTCATAGTACAACCATGTATTTTGAGTTACATACCTTTCAAAAACATTACTGAACATTCAATGCATAGACTACCTAGAATAAGTATGAAAGAAAGAAAACTGAAATGAATAAAACAGGGAAAATTCTATGTTTTATTCCATGTGAGATAAATTTCTTATACAGCCATTAGAATTGCCTATGAAAATCAAGCCACAATTTGAGTTCATTTTCCTCATGATGCCTGAATAATCACAGGACTTTCACTTTCATCAGATAGAGTTTATTATGCATTTACTTCTGAATCACATTGGGCTGGGTATTACTTAAACCTTGGTGAATAGAAATAGAAGCTTATAGATTAAATGGATAGTGGTAAACACACACATGTAAAAATTATGCACACATAATACATACTTACTAGTACTTGTCTAAGCAACATGAGTGCATGTAAAACTAATTTATTTCTAGTGTTTTTAGCATAATATAATGGAAAAATAGTTTTTAAGTGTGTTTAGTCATCTGATTAGCTGAGACACAAACTCTCCCTGGAAGCCTACAGCTGAGGTTTGAGGGGGAAGAGGGAAAGCCCTCAGCCTATACAGGTTGGGGGATTGGAACAGAGACCCTTACATAACACTGGGCCCCCAAATTGCAAAGAGTTCTTATCTTTAGAAATACATAGATGAAACTATGTAATGTCTGTCATTTTCTTCAAAATAATCTGAGGATGGGAGGAATGGGTAGAGATTATAGATGCAAAAAGATTGACTATGAGTCCATAATTATAGAAGTTGGGTATGGCTACATGGAGGCTTATTATATTCTCTCTACTTTTGTATGCTTAAAATTTTCTAAGTTAAAAAGTTTTGTTTAAGAACCATTAAAAGGAAAACCATATACTGTGTAATGGTATTGAAACAAAGCTGAGAAAAGATGAGAATCCAAAATGTCTACAGAACTTCTATAAATCAGTAAGACAAGACAAACCCATTGAAAGATGGTTTAAATAAATAAATAAACTGACATTTTATGAAATAAAAAATGTCCAGACAAAACATTAAAAAGATGTGCAGTCTCATTAGTAAGCAGGAAAAAGCAAGTTAAAACCACAATGAAATATTCTGTATGTCATCATATGCTAGGTAATACTGTTGCCACTAACACTCAAGAATCATCCCAACAAAATTTTACTTCTCACTCACATTAAGTGTCCATTTAAGGTCATCAGAGAACTGAGGTCAGTCACCTGTTTATTATGGTCATTCATGTTCCCAGGGTTACACAACAGTCACCTCCGATGTTGTAGGCCTCCTTTCCAGAGGGAAGGAAACTATGGAGGTGTTTGCATCAGCAATTAATTGCTCCAGCTAGGGATTGGCACATTCCTTCACAATTCAGTGCAAGTCACAACAAACGCACTCATCACATGGATTTAGGAAGTGCAATTCCTTCTACCATGTGCTTGGAAGCAGGGATAACTGGAAATGTTTGGGGAAAACAAATGACTTTCATAGTTGCTAGTTTTTTCTATCAGACTGGCAAATCTATATAGTCTGACAAAACCAAATATTGGTGAAGATGTAGAGCAATAGAAACACTTAAGCCCTTTTGACTGAAGAGTAAATTGGTACAAGTACTTCAGCAAACAATTTAGTGTTATTTAGTAAAGTTGAAAATTCATACAGTTTTCAACTCAGCAATACCACTCTAAGATATATATCTTAGAAAGACTTTTGCATATGTGCACCAAAGATATATTCAAATATGGTCACAGAAACACTGTTTGTACTAGTGAGATCAAACAAGCAAAAAGAAAAATTGGAAATAGCTCTCATGTCCGCAAATAGTAGATTTTTTTTGAATATTCATTTAATGAAGTACCATTTAAGATAGAATATGGATGAACAGATACATGTTTATCTGGCTGAATTTTAGAAACATATTGAGTGAAACAAGTAAGCCTAAAATTATTTTATTTGACAAAGGTCTAAAAATGTTAAAATTAATATATTATTTTAGGATTGCATACCTAAGCAAAAACAAATAAATAAAAGTTAGTTTAACACAAAATTCAAGATAGTAGTTACCTTTGAGTGGATGGAGGCAGGGATGTGATCAGGGACAGCTTTAAGGTATTGATAATATTCTTTTTGTTAAGTTGTTTAGAGTTGTAAACATTGTTCACTTTGCTATTATTCTTTAACTTGAACACACGTAATGTATGTACTCTAAGTCTGCAAAAAAGCATAGATATATAAATATATCTTATATTGTGGAGAAAAATCAATCAATGAAAACAGAACAAAAATGGTACAGATAAACTAGTCAAGGACATTAAAACAGCTATTGTAAATATATTTCAAATGTTCAAGAAGGTAGAGTAAATAGAAAAACAAAAAATAGAGAATATCATTGGAATAAAAAACTGCTTTTTTGAGATCAATGAGTGATAAACTTTTAGCTGGATTCATCAAGAAAAATAGATATGATAAAAATTATTAATTATAGAAATGAGAGAGGGGATACTAATATAGAAGTTTTAGGTATTAAAAGTATAAGAAAAAAGTATAAGAAAATATTACAACCAACTATTTTGGCAAGATATTTGACAACTTAGATAAAATGGACAAATTCTTTGAAAGAAACCATCTTCCAGAGATCACTCAAAAAGACATAGATTACCTGAATAGCTCAATAGTTATTAAAGATACTAAATAATAAATAATAAAGCTATTATAGCTAGAAACCTCCCCACAAAACAAACAAAACTCAGAACACATCAATCCAAGACAGCTTCTCCGGTTAATTCTACCGATTCTGTCTCAATGAAAAAAAAAAAAAAAAAAAAAGGAGGAAAAATTCAATCATACAGGAAAGATTCAAGGAAATGAAGCCACTTCTTAATATTATTATCTCAGGGCTGACAGATATTTATAAACAAAATTAGTCTGTGTCTTTTCACATTAATCAAAAAATGGAAAAGACTATCAGCCTAGTGTCAGTGATTAATAGATAATATCATTTGAACGTGATAAGTAAGTCAAGAGGTAGACTGGTCTCATGGTGGGTTTGTTAGATTAGTGTCATTCAGAGCCCAGGCTCCTTTAGTTGTTCCCCTTTGCCTCAGTGCACATGTGCTGTTTTTCCTCTTGGTCATACCATAGCAGCCATCATCACATTTTCACATGAAACCATCCAAATTAGGAATCAAGGTGCTGCAATTAGGGCTGAAGACTGTGGTACTTCCCCTACTTTCTGATAGGGAGAAAAACCTTTCCCAAGCCCTCCATTAGAATTCTCATTATATTTCACTGACCAGGACTGGATTACACACTCACTTGTAGACCAATCACTGGCAAAGGGAGAAGGGGTTGCCATGACTGACTAAGGTCAAACATGACTGAATTCCTGAGTACATTATTGCCCAAACTAAATGGAGATACCAAATAGGAGGGGAAACGGCCTGGATAAGCCAGTAACATTGTATGCCACATAGAGGAACAGGAAAATTGATGGGAGAACATCAGGGAATCAGAGAAGTTTTATGAGACATTAGTCTAATAGGTTCCAGAATGTACTGCTCATGTCTGTCACCATGAACGTCTGGCACCAACTTCACACACTATGGATGGCCAGTACGCATTTTAGATCAAATGAGTCTAGAAAGTAGCAAGCTGAGCAAGATTTAAACATGTAGAAATATTTATGATGGCCAGGAAACCATGCTGATCTCAGGAAAGTGAGGTTTCTTTAACAGAGGGCCAAAAGGACACAATGTTTACCTTTTAGTGAGGCAAGGTCATAATGAAGCTTGGCTCTCCACAACACTGTGTGCTCATGGACAGGGCACATCGAGTCGGAAGATGACCACCAACCAGAAATTGATGTGCACCCATGGGCACACAGGAATGCCATTTGGGACAATTTATTAATTCCTTCCACAAATACTTAAGAATTATTTTATGCCAGGCACTGTTCTAGGCACTTGCATTACATTAATTAACAAAAAGCATCAGAATGAGTGAATTACATAGTAAGTCAGCAGGTGATAGGTGCTTTGAAGGAGAGATAGAATACGGTAAAAGGGATCAGTAATCCCAGGATGTGTGCTGTGAGGTAGGTTAAATAGGGGATTTGGGGGCCAGGCACAGTGGCTCATGCCTGTAATCCCAGCACTTTGAAAGGCCAAGGTGGGCGGATCACCTGAGGATTGGAGTTTGAGACCAGCCTGACCAACATGGAGAGACCCCGTCTCTACTAAAAATACAAAAAATTAGCCAGATGTGGTGGTGCATGCCTGTAATCCCAGCTACTCGGGAGACTGAGGCAGGAGAATCGCTTGAACCTGGGAGGCAGAGGTTGCAGTGAGCTGAGATCGCTACGATTGCACTCCAGCCTGGGGGACAAGAGTGAAATTCCATATCAAAAAATAAAAAAATAGGGGAGTCAGGGTAGGTCTCACTGAGAAGGTGACATTTGAGCAAAACGTCCTCTGCGCGAAAGGGGGAAGGAGAGAGCTGTAAGACTTGTGGGAAGAGGGTTTCTAGAATTAGCCACCCCGTTTCATCACTCTACATGGGAGAACTAGAATGATAACACATACATGTTACATAATATACACATTTTTTCTTTTTGAGAAGGAGTGTTGCTCTTGTTGTCCAGGCTGGAGTGCAGTGGCACGATCTCAGCTCACTGCAACCTCTGCCTCCCAGGTTCAAGCGGATCTCCTGCCTCAGCCTCCAAGTAGCTGGAATTATAGGCACCCACCACGACGCCTGGCTACTTTTTGTATTTTTAGTATAGATGAGGTTTGGCTATGTTGGCTAGGCTGGTCTCAAACACCTGACCTCGTGATCTGCCCATCCTGGCCTCCCAAAGTGCTGGCATTATAGACATGGGCCATTGTGCCCAGCCATAATAAACACATTTTAAATGCTTTACTTTTTAAAAAGGTTTTTTTTTTTTTTTTTTCAGTCTGAAGCAACTTCTAAGGCAGATGGTTTTCCAAAACCACCATCCAAAAAATTATTCTGGTCTAGAATAAATCATCCCACCCTTAGGACCATGAAGGCTCTGTGATATCAGGATGCTGTAGGAATTTGGTTTCAACCCTTATTCTGTCTCTAACCAGCTGTGGATATTGGAAATCCACGTGACTTCTTCTGTGCTCAGTTTTTTGTTTTTTTTTTTCTTCTCTGCAAATGGAAGGAGCTGAGTAATTCTCAAGGTCCATCTCAGGTCTAAACTGACTCCCAAATAAAGAAATCTGCTTGCAAGAGTCTGCACAATGCTTTCTCACTGGTTCTGGGGGGTGGGAGGGTGGGGGCGGTCCTTGTGCTGTGTAGCCCATCAGGATAACACTGAAGAGCCACCTAATGACTTAATGGGCTTTAAAATGGGTGGCTAGGTTTTAATTTTCTCTGATAGCAGGTTCCCTGAGGGAAAGTGTATTTTACAGGGGATAATCACCACATAGGATATTTTGATTGCCTCAGGGTATCTTATTTGGAAATCAGTTTTCATTTACATTCCTCTAGTAATTTTTGCTATCAAAACAAAATAAAAGCCCCCAAAGGAATGTTTATACAGAGCTGAAATGTGTTGGAATGTCAAAAGTATCTCTCTAAGAGTTAAGCATCTGTAAATATTTGAAATAGGGTGAAATCACAAATACTGCTACTATTCATCTCTTTCACTTTTGATTAGAGGCCAAAAAGAACAAGCAAAATCTCCAGGAACACTTTTATATAAAACTGTTAACTCTATAGCCACGTCTAACGACTCAAATTATAAAAGAAAGTTGGGTGAAATGCATAATTCACCTATTCAAGTACACAGTCAGCTCTACACATATGAAAACGGGCCTCGCAGAGGATGCTGAAGAGTAGTATTTTCCCATCTGGTAAACTTAAATAGCAATATTATCATATAAAGACTAGGCTATACAATAAAATAAAGTCAGCCACTCTGCCTGAATTCTCTACCCCCACTCTTACCACATACATCATAGCTTTACAGATTTCTCTAGTTTTCTTTGGTTATGGATCTGACATCATGCTCCATGTTTTAGTCACATCATCTTACTTCACCTGCTCCACAACACTGAAAGGTAGCAACTGTTTGCTCTATTATAGGATGGTGGAAACTGAGGTCCTAAGAAAACACGTGTGTGCTATTTAAACTGCTTTCCCTTCAAATGGCAAAGAACATTGAAGGAAGACAGTTTTTGATTGCAGACATTCATTCATTCAGGAACTCATGCTATTCTTGATGTACTCAACTCTACAGAAAACTTACTACCAATACAGCCCACTCCCTGCTTCTTAACCAGCTTTCAGTGGAGATGGGAATTTGGAGGAGTGATGAGTTCATTGCGTCCTCTCCTCCTTTATTTGATTACCTCCCTGCCATCTTGCCTTTTCTGGGCTAAATGATAACACTTCCTTCATTTCTCTTTGGAACCATTTTCAAAAACATCTCTTCAGGAGTGGAATCACAAATGAGAAACAGTAGTTTCATAAGGAAGTGTAAAATGAAAGGACAGCGAGAGCATTTTTACATTTGCACATGACATTTCTAATAATCTACATTGAAGGATTTTTTTTTTTTTTTTTGGCATCCTCCTAAGTGCCTCTTGAAAACCTCTGTGACATATGAGACAGCTACTGACTAATTTGTTCTGGCAGAAAAATGAGGTTAGTATTATTGAAAATATGTTTTCCTTCACCAGATCTTGTTCAGGTCATTGAGTGGCTTTTCGCTGGTGAAAGGGTGCAGGGTTTATTTCCAATGAAATATTATGGAAAGAAGAGAAATAACATTTGACCTATCCCAACATTAGCAAAATGCAAATCACAGTCAGTTTTCCATAGGGTGATGTTTTCATACTTTGCATTTCTGTAGTTGTGCATCAGTCTGAACATATTTAAGCAAGGTGAATGAAGGATCCATGAAAGACACTGTGAATAAACAACTGTACAAGGCTAACTTTAAACAGTTTTTAGCTTTAGTGACAGATAATGCCATTTCTCTAGAGGAGTTCTAAATATAGACGAATAATGGATAGCAGTTTACCAGAAGCTATGTAGTGCCCTAAACCAGCAGGGGCTGGGCGTTGAGTGGAGGAGGACTGCAATTTTGAGGCTGATTAAAGATGCAGTACTGACAGGTTCCAATGGGTGTATCAGGGTGGGGGAGGGGTGGCATCTCATTCTTTTTTTTCCTTCACACTCAGAGGTGTGGGTAGCTTCAATGTAAATTGCTGACATGGGTGATTAGGATGTTAAGTGGGAGAATAGACGGCTCTTTATTATTCTTTTGGAAATAGAGAGGGATAAAATTCAGCAATCATCAAGCCTTTTCATTTTCCTACAATTTGTCTGTGCAGTGAGGAGGCTGGCTTCCTTTCCACAGATGAGATTACTTCCTGCTGACATCAAGTGGGGGTAGGGTGAACCAACGTGTGAACAAGAAAATTGAGCTTGAAGGGTAGCTTTTGTTTTGATGTTTGCTAGATGTCTTTTCTTGTGTTAAAATTAGATGTATCACCTACTGGCAGCCACAAGATTTTCATGTTGAGAATGCAAGGCAGATTTCTCTCGGTAAATCTCCAGGTGCATAAACCGATTGTCAGTTTTAATAAAGAATTATGACTTCTTGGACTTCAGCTATGCAGAAGAGAAAAATCTAATAATTTAGCATAATGCTTATGTAAGCTGTGCTGGAGAGTAATACATAGTTGCTTTCATACTAACATAAAGCTTCTTGGTCAACATTACACAAATAATGCATATTTAATTAGAGTTTTTAGATATCCAAAGAGGAAAAATCCCCACAAGGTTTCCCTCACAGATGACCTTTATCAGGGATGCCTTACCTGAGTTCTTTCAGATGCCTTAGGGAAAAATTTCAGCCTCAATGAAATGAGATGACATATGGCTGGTTATTCCACAAGATCACCATCTTTAGATTGAATTTAACTTTTTTTTCTTCAGAGCTAGAGCTTTATGGAGTTTTTGGGTTTTGGAGGTAGCTGGATGGTACAGTGCCTCAGATTTATAATTTCAAATTAAAATCTGTCCTTCATATCTTTAGAGAAGTAACAAGTTTAATCTGTGGCGTTTAATCATTGAAATTTGTCTTGACATTTTTGAAACACAGATTCCAATACTGAGATGTGATTACTTTGCAACAGATTTGCAAGGAAGGTGACAGACCGCAGAAGAACTTCTAAACACAGGCAAAACCAGACGAGCCCAGGGGGAAGGGAAGGTTGACCTGGGGAAGGTAGACATGAATGTCAAAAAACTCAGAAGTAAATACACCGTTTCCCAGCTGCATCTGTCTGAGGGCTTACCTTGCACACATTAATTAAACTCTTCCCTCTCTCATCATGCTTCGCCGGTTTATCCCTCAGCACTCTTTTGATTTAAGGAGAGAAAACCAAGATTAAATGTAAAATTAAGTTTTCTCACTAACAGCTCAGGGGGCACAGCTGGGTGGGCTGTGCAGGAGCACGTGGGTGTCTCCAGATTCGTCA